GTAAACCTGGTCAACCTGGATTACCAGGCGTTGTGGGGCCACCAGGGCCTTTAGGTGAAAGAGGCTTACGAGGTCAACCTGGAATGCCTGGAGAGCCTGGATTACCTGGAAACAGTGTTTCTTTAGACGAAGTTAGGGATATGTGTCGTCTTGTTCTTAGAGGTTAAATTTAAATATTTTTACGTTTACGTTTCTCCATTTAATTTTCTTTTATCTTTCTTCCTTTAAAAGAACGCCTAGAAGAAATAACACGAGATTTACATGGTCCACCTGGTAGTCCTGGAATTGGAAAACCGGGCGAGGCAGGTCCTCCTGGAGCTCAGGGTATTCCAGGCGACCCTGGTTCTCCTGGCTTACAGGGAGAAAGGGGATATCCGGGTATGCCAGGAAATACTGGACAAAGAGGTCCACCAGGTCCGAAGGGAGAAAGGGGAGAAAAGGGTGAAACTGGAGAACCTGGGGAAGGTTTAGAAGGGCCAAGAGGTCTACGAGGTAATCCAGGTCCAGTTGGACCTCCAGGCTTGGGATTGCCTGGACAAAGTGGAAGCAAAGGTAGCCGAGGATCAAGGGGCTTTGATGGTAACAAAGGAGAAAAAGGTCCACCCGGCTTACCAGGAGACTGTCAGCGTTGTAACCCAAATATGGCAGAATATCTTAGGATGTTTCAGGAATATTCTACCCATCGAAAAGGCCCGATCAAGGGTTAAAATTTGTATACTTCAAGAATGATAGAGAGAGAAAGAACGCGTGAAGAGAGACAGAGAGAGAGAGAGAGAGAGAGCGCCCGCGAGTGAAAGTGTAAGGTGAAGAGAAACGAGAGGAGTGAAAGAAAAAATTGATGGAATGTTAAGCCCTGTTTGAACGTTAGCTAGGTGATAACTGTGATGGATGAATGAGAGGATTATAATGAATACACGAGAAGCAACTTGCTTCCGAATATAGTTTTGTTAGTTGATAAACATAACACGTGCTTATTAAGAATCCAAAGTTCGACTGATTATTTTATAATAAAATCTGACTATGGGGTGATACAGATAAAAGAATATTTCTATCCAATAGCTAATGACAGTACAACAGCTAGACACACATTCTTATCTTCAATGAATATATAGGTAGGAGTTTCTCACTGTATTATTTTTACTGTACGACAATGTCAAATTACACAGAGACAACGATAACATTCAAACTATATTATTATACTTTATTATATACTTTTACGGTTTTTAGTGTGAGCGGAAATGTTATGGTCATAATAGTAATAACTCGTCAAAAATGCTTCGATTCCATAAATAGTGCATTATTTACTAGTCAAGCAGTTTCAGATTTGTTTCTTTCTATTGTTTATTCAATATACAATACATCTCATATGAAAAATTACTACATTCAGAAAACTTTATCTAGTTTCTATCCTTGTATTATCTTTGCAACTCTTCTGCAAGGTATGCTAATGGTCTCTTCATGGAATTTGGTCTTTATCACCGTAGTTCGATTTATCTCTATTCACTCTCCTTTGCAGTTTTATAACTATGTTACTCCAAAAAGAACGAGGATCTGTATAACTATTTTATGGTTTGGTCTATTAACATTGGCCTCTTGTCTACACGTATACTACTTTTTTAAGCGTCCAAATTGGAGAAACAACCTATGTCAAACGGAAAAAAACTACACTGTTCTTCAATTTACTGTAATCTGTGTTCTAAACTTTTTTTTACCTTCTTTTATAATGGCTATTATACATTCTTATCTTCTGATTACGGCCAGGAAGAAGGTAAGAGGAGAATATTATATGAGTATTTAGATAAACCGTTAAATTTAGCGTATGTAATTAAAAAGGTAAAAGAAGAAAGGAATAGAATTCAACAAAAAGATGGAAAGATAAAAATAAGTAAGAGGGATGTGCTTAAAAGAGAATTTAAGTTATTCAAATTAACTGGTTTCTTAGTTTGTTACTTTATACTGTCATGGTTACCATCTACAATATATATTTATAGAAGAATCGTTTGTAATTGCTCTATAAACGCTTATATAAGGTTAGTAATTTACACCATTTATTTAAGAAATATCAGCATGTTTATGTATCTATGTTTATTCTCTGAATATATTATAGGTATTCATATCATTGTAGCAAAGCTATAATAATTAATTCATAGATTGTCATTTATTTGCATAAAAGGAGAAAACCCTTAAAAACATCTTTTTATACTTTTTATACATTTCTTTTTATCATTCTCTTTCCTTTCATAAATCAGGGCTACTTGTCGTATTATTGCACATTCAAATACTGCCGTTAATATCTTATTTTACGTTGGAAGAATGAAAGAATTCAAAACTGCCTTCCGTAATCACTTTAGAAGCTGTTGCTGTTGTTGTTGCATTAAAAATCGTGTTCAAGATGTACATTTTTAGAATAAATTATTTATAAATAGTACATTGTTTATCTAGATATTTAGTCGGCAAAGTGCGTATTAATCACAAGTTATGACATTTAGGACGTAACGAAAGAGGCCTACAAAATTTCCATTAACAATGACGCTGCTTAAATTATAACCTATCTCTATCCATTAGGATCACGTTTTCCGGTCTATTTGCTGTGCTTTGATTGTCACTGACGACTTTTACTTCTTAGTGCAAGATCGCCTCATATAAACCTGAATATTTGATAAATTTATAAATGTCTAACGTAACTCAATCGGCAGTTGAATTTAATGTGTACTATTATTCTTTTCTTTATGGATTGTCAGTTTTCAGTTTGATTGGTAATGGTATAGTTATAGCTGTATTTAAGAAGAATCAGTACTTTGACTCTGTTGCAAACTATCTCTTTCTTAGCCAAGCTGCTTGTGATTTAGGTGAATAAATCTAATCAATTTTCTATAATTTCCTTCAAAGGATTAAGATAAAACCTCTAATAGGTTAATTATATTTATCATCCAGGGGCATCCTTTTGGTATTCTATTTATAATACTGCTCATATGGAAAGAAATAACATTAAAAGCAAATTTGCATCTCCTGGACTTTGCATATTCATTGCTACATCTTTGATGAGCATGACGATGATTTCTTCTTGGAATTTAGTGGCTATAACGGCAGTTAGATACATTTCTATTCATTTTCCCCTTCAGTATCACAATATAATTACAAAGAAAAGAATCAAGACATTTATCGCTATTATATGGATTATTCAAATTTTAGGTTCATTGAGTATACATTTACAGTTCTTATCAAACGAGCAGAAAATGAGTTGAGTGTGTTTTTTTCCCCACTTATATTCTTGTTATTTTCCTCTTCTTCTTCTTCTTCTTGTATCATGATTTTAGAAATATATTCTATTTTTCAATAATAGATGATTTCAAGTTGGGTTGTTATCTTGATAAATTATACTCCTTTGGTCAATTTACAACATTAGCAATTGTACAGTTCTTACTACCGGCTATTATTATGTCGGTATTGTACATAGGAATTTTACTGACAGCAAGGAGAAAGGTAAATTTTACATTATCCTCTTTCTATTGTATCCACTTTGATAATTAATAGACTTTTTACCTATCTTAACGACCCCGAGTTGACATTAATTTCTAAAAAACCGGTAGTTAAAACACATTTCCCCTACTACGAATATCGTCTTACATTACACGTGCCAGAAATACAAAAAAAAGAATTCCGATGCGTGTAGATCACATATCAAAATGGTTGTTTGTGAAAAAAGATCCCTGTTTCTTACTCCCTATCTCCCTATGTATATCTTATATGTAGATATATAAATATTCTCGTATAAATCATATTATTGTTTCGTTATCCTTTCGCTTTTCTCTTCCATCTTCTCTTTAAATTTTTACAGATACGTCAAGAAATGCAATTTAAGAAGATGGACATTAGCAACGATGACTCAAAATTAAGGATAATGAAAAGGGAGCTAAAACTATTTTATATGACAGGATTTTTGGTTGTATACTTTTTGATTGCGTGGACGCCTGTAACGACATATTTTATTGTGTCTATGGCGTGCAAATGCAAAATCAATGCCTACGTGAGGTAAGGAATATCAAATATGCTAATTACATATTGAATTTAATAAAGACGAAAGCACGTTTTCTTGCTTAATTTATCGATTATTTTTCATATATCAAAGTGTAGTCTCTCTCTCCCGTTAACTAGTCTAACAGTTGTTCTTTTATGCTTAAATAAAAAATAGAGCTACTTGTCGCCTTCTCCTACATTCCAACACAGCCGTTAACGTCTTTATATACGCCGGTCGAATGAAAGAATTTAAAGTTGGCCTAAAAAGATACCTTCCAGAAGTTCGCTGTCCACCAAGGAGAAGAATTCAAAGTGATATATCCTTCACTTGACCTAATTAATAGACTCTATAAACTTTCTCTTCCAGGAGTGTTTTTAAGCTAAATATTTTTTGATACATAAGAATTATTTAAAAAGAACAAAAATATATTTCTGTTGTATATTTTATATTATTTTTATACAAATAAAATTGTAATTTCTTTATTAAATTTAATAAAATTAAGTACAGATTATTCTTCTTATGAAAACTAGCTGAAAATATTAAGATAAATGTTTTGAGGAAGATGGATTATAGAAGGTTATTTATCAAAAAGTTCAATCGTATTTGTACCAGATGACCTAAATAAAACTGTAATTTTCTATTATAATTGAAAGGCATTTTAGGCGGCAAATAATAATGTCCTCCAGTTCACTGCCGTTGTTATAGATCGTACGTAAAAAGTGGAGCACGGTACCACACTATCAAGCGAAGCCTCGCGAGAACACTCCATTTAAGGAATCGTCTCGTGCAATAGGGGTAAATTTATCAATAAATTTTTTTATGACTTATCTTTTTGGTTCTCCCAACACAATTTGAAAATAACAAAGTTTAAAAAAATATTTATTTATTTTATATTAAATGCTTGATAATAATTTAAATTTTTCAGAAAATAGTTGGAAGAAAATATATGACTATACTGCTGAAATTGACGCGCGAAAAAATCAGACGTCCGCCATCTTGAATCGTTGCCATTCGTGTGTATATACCTCTACGTGAAATAATAATCAATTTTGGACGTTTTTAACCGTTTTTGAGTAAATCCTATCACTTCAGTTAATCTACGGGTTAACGGATTATTAGAAATCTTGTTGGATCTGTAAAATTTAGCAGAAATCAGCGTTTAAAAAGAAATCAGCCGTCCATTGTTTATGCTGCGTCTGAACTTGTTAAATAACAAGTTTTTCCTTTCCGTAAGTATTTCTTTAGTTTTATATTTGCACTCTATTAAGATATATTTTAATTAAATTATCGAATTAAAATTTATACAAAAATCTGTTTGATCTTGTGTTTTTAACAAGTGAGATACATTTCGTTATTTGCTGATGTAGAAACGTTTTTTAATACTAGGGTGGTGTAATCCCCTGCTAATAATTATATTATAGAAAAAATGTACAAATCTTATTAGTATTCTGATTTGTAACTTATTGAAAGCAAATACCAGTTGCATAGACACCTGCCCTTTAATTTTATATATTTATACTATTCTATTGAATTCTTTTTGGTGAAGATGCGAATTCAATACTAAGGTAGTTTAAAATGGCTTTCTAAGGATGCTTTATATCATTCTGTAAGCTTAATATTACTGGTAGAGACGAGAATTAATCCACTACAAACAAACCAATGTCATCTTTGGGTATATTTGTTTATTTGGAGGATGAACGAATGGGACGAGGAGGTGATAATTGTTGTATTATACTTATAGACTATTTTTAACATTTTAATTTAATACGAATCTGTAAGATACCTTAAATATTTCAAGATTGATAGCAAGGGAAAGTTAGATTTTTAGTATTAAACTTGCTGTCAGTTCACGTGAATTCCCTTTAATAAAAAACACGTATAAAAAAATAAGAGTGAAATTTCTTGTCACAAGAGTAGAAATAATTTCTTTATAGCCTATATAAAGCACGGAGTAACAACAAAAAATGGGTATTTTAAAAGGATCTTGCTTGAATCTAAATACTCTTTCTATCAATTTATAAAGATTCTACGATTATATTTATAGACGTAATGTCTTTGTATTGAAAAGATCAAGAAGTTTTATCCGGGTATAATATTAATCATCTAGTGTTATGATTAATGAAACAATTCAGTTCACTCTGAAATATGAATGGAAAAGACCTCTGTTTCCGGTTTAAAACCTGTCTTAATAAAATTCTAAAAGATAGATGTCATTGGCAACTGGTATTTGTATAAATATATATATAAGATAGTAGTATGTGTAGAACAAGAATTCTTTTTTAAAGTCACTTAGTCAGAAGAGTAAGTCATCTATTACTTACCGTAAACTTTAACGAATAAATTTTCATACAGGTGCTGGATAATGGAGGAAGTCTAGTCAATTAAATAAATAAAAAAGAATGAATGCAAGGGATAAGAGTCAAATTCCGATGCGTAAACTAAGCGTCGATCTTATACGTACTTATAAGTATATAAATGACGTTTATTATGCTGAAAGAGGAAAGAACAAGCATAAACGACCGCCTGCCGGAAACGCTGGTTCTGGGGATGGAGAATCTAAGAAAAATTGTGTGAGAGAAAGACCTCACCATCATCATCATCAAGGTAGGGAATTTTACCAACTTTCAATTATTTTTCTGCCAATATTTCACATAGTAAATAGTAAAAGAAAAGACGTATTAATACTAAGAGCCATCTCATACGAAAGAGTAAAATTAAAACTATTATTTTATTAAGAAGGAAGCGGATACTGGCCACTAATACCCTCATTACAGGCTACAATAGCCTAAATGCTTTTTAAATCGTTTGACGTTATGTGTACACGAGGAGGGTATTGGCAGCCCTAAACGAGCTGCTTGAATAAATACTCATCTAACAAAACGATTAAATATATCGTCTATGGTGTCAAAATTTGATGAAAAGTAAGTTGACATGAAGAGTTTGATTAAAAAGTCTTGAAGAGAAAGAAATATCCTTTTTTTTTACATATACATATATAAAATAATTGATTAATTTTTCAAATTATCTTTATAACGTATGCGATGGCCGCTTTATTTTTAGTATATATACATAAAAAAGTGAACGAAATATAAAGTCAAGAGTTATTTAAATAACCACCATTAATCTAACAGTGAGACGTTGCTCCAATCTCTTTTGCTTTTTTCAACTTATTTTTAATTAAAAAGCAAAAATCTTTCATCGTATTCTCTTCATTCGTTTATTGCCCAGAGGTATACTTATAAAGAATTAAATAGAAGGATAAAAAAATTTCATTTTCCCTCTTTAAAATTCTAAAAGTTGTTTATTTGAAATTTCTATTGTAATATTTTTAATATCAATTATTTGCTTTTTTACATTTAAGGTCACGGAGGTCCAAATAATAATGGATACGACGATGAAAATTATGATTACATAATTAAACCTGGTGAACGATGGAATAATGATCGCTACGAAGTTGAATCCACTATAGGGAAAGGTTCTTTTGGTCAAGTGGTTAAGGCTTACGATAGGGTGCAGCAAGAATCCGTCGCCATTAAAATTATTAAAAACAAAAAACCCTTCTTGAACCAGGCTCTCGTTGAAATCAAACTTTTGGAAATGATGAACAATTGCGATAAGAAAAACCAGAATTATATTGTTCGTTTAAAATCAAATTTTTACCATCGCAATCATCTGTGCATCGTCTTCGAACTCTTATCATATAATCTCTATGATTTGCTTAAGAACACTAACTTTCGAGGAGTTTCGTTAAATTTAACTAGAAAGTTTGGTTTACAACTGTGTACGGCACTTCACTTTCTCTCACAAAACGAATTATCTATAATTCACTGCGATTTAAAACCGGAAAATATTTTATTGGTGAACCCTAAACGATCGGCAATTAAGCTAGTTGATTTCGGGTCGTCTTGTCAATTAAACGAAAGAGTCTACCAGTACATCCAATCAAGATTTTATCGTAGTCCCGAAATTTTATTAGGACTGCAGTATGATTTGGCTATTGATATGTGGAGTGTTGGGTGTATTTTAGTGGAAATGCACACTGGCGAACCTTTATTTCCGGGGTCAAATGAACAGGATCAGCTGTTCAAGATAATCGAGGTGCTAGGAATGCCGCCGACTCATATGATAGAAGCTTCCTCCAAGAGGGACAAATTTTTCATACAAACACCCGATAAGCGGTATATACCGAACCACGACGCCAGTAAATACAAGGCTCCTGGATCAAGGCGGCTCGAAGATATCTTGGGTGTCAATAAAGGTGGTCCAGGCGGAAGGCGACGGAATGATCCTGGTCATACAGAAGCGGATTATAAGCGGTTTTTGGATCTCATTCAACGCATGTTAAAATATGACCCGAAAACGCGAATAACACCGTTCTATGGCCTGCAACATAACTTTTTTAAAAGAACTGTTGACGGTGCGACTAGTACAAGTCCACAAACGTCAAAGATGCAACAACCACAACAAGAGCTATCGCAACAGCTCAAGATGGAGACAGAATACGCCGTTTCGTTAAACTGAGTGGTTTTTAGAAGTCTTGCAGCTTTCTTTATTTTTTTTTTCAAAAAAAAAGTAAGAAGCTGTATTTTTTTCAGTGCGTGTGTCTTTTTAGAGATGTTGCAGGATTGAGAGTGTTTAAGTTATTTTTATTTTACTTTGATGGTATTCGTTTATTATTGCTTGTGAATGGATGGAAATTATCCTAATATATTACCAAATTTTGATAGATTTTTTTTTTTCATTTTGTTAAAAAAGAAAAAACATCTTAAAAGAAATTTAATTCAATTTTTTTTTTCTTTCAGTTCTTTTTATACCAGATTTTTTTACGTTCAGAATCGTTACCTTTTTTTTTTTTTTTGTTTACTTTATTTTCACTATGATCATCGCTAAGCCTTCATTCTTTTAAAGAATAGGTGGCGCTAACAGATATTCAATAGTATGGCATAAAACCGTTAAAGGAAAGAGGATGTTATTATTTTCAGTTCAATACATCCTTAACGGAAAGACGATAGAATTTCTCACGGTTATATATATATATATATATATATATATATATATATAAGCAAATCAGCAATCGTTAAGTCACATACGCCAAGGGAGGACTATACCTTTTATATTGCAAGTGTTAGGCGACATTCTTCTCTTTGTTAGCGAAATTGAATTTTCCACCTAATCCGTATTATTCTTTGGATTTACAAACGATGTCTCTTATTGCTTCTGTTCAGCTGTGTTGAATAAAAAATAGACTGTAAAGTGGCGAGAAGCATGTCTAAATACTATCGTTATTTGTGGTATTATGTTACTTTCAAACTCTGTTCGTGAACACGATATCTAATGAGGCGTTCAAAATGTCCATAATCTAGAGCATGTAAATGAATACAAAACGAATACTTTAGTTGGGGAAACTCTTAAATTTTATTGTAGACGTTTCTTACGACAGAGGGAAGCACATGTCAAATTAAAAAAAAATCAGGTATATAATTGTAACAAGTAGGTGGCGCATATGATTATTGAACAGGATTACTTAGTTCGATCAAAGTAAGAAAATAAATAACAAATGCCACTCCTACGATTTTCCAGTTGACTATACATTAGGCAAATAACATTTGTATCACATATTAGGTAAACAAATAAAACTGATTATTAGCAAAGCAACAATACTCTACTTGTTTAAAAAAACAATAACAACAATAAGATCTATTTTTCTTTCAAAGGTAAAAAACTAATAAAACTATTTAGAAGATAAAATTAGTAATTACGTCCAATTCAATTGTATCAGTTGGTACGAACAAATTAAAGAAAACACATATTTTCCATCCCCCTATCACTCCTTTCTCTTATTAATTCGTTCATTCATTTATTCATTCATATAAACACACCCATACACACATACATACACTCACATACGTACACTCTCTCTTAAGTTTACCTGGAGATCATCGTTTCCTATTGAATAAGGTTAATATTAACCTACAATTAAGATTGAAAGGTAAGGCGAAAGCCAAAAGCGATCGATTTCAATGATTTATAACGTCAATGACAAACTATCACTTATTTTAGAAATAAAAGGGGGAATCAAGGACAAAGTAGTTCACAAGTTGATAATATTCTAATCAAACTATCAGGAATAACATTCAATGGAAATAGAAAGAACAAAAATTAATTATTAATAATCAAAACGCTTAGTGAAGCTAAAAATACGAAGATTAAAAGAAAGAGTTCATTACGCTAGCCATACAACCAACACGTGCTGACATCATTCAATTAAAGACAAAAGAAGATACATGCGAAAGTACGATATATCGATTATCTTTCACAAATATACATAGGATGTTGACAAAGGATATACTTGAAAAATGTTTCTTAAGTAAATCCACTACTGATACCTTTACTTTATAACGATCATTAACACTCTTATTTATTCATTAATATGTAAATATATATATATATATATATATATGTATATATATATTCAGTTTGTCCTTTTTGTTATGATAAGTGTATACGTACTGTATATATTTTATATTCTTTATGCATTCACAATGTAATTGCAGTTAACATTTTCATTTAAAGTAAACTTTCTTTCAAATTACTCAGGAGATCGATATTTTAATTGAAATGGATAATTTTAATTAAATTTCTCTTTTTTCTTATTTTCTCTTTTTTTTTTGGAAATTTTCTTAATTGATTTAAAGAAAGAGATATTTAAAAAGAAATCCACCTGCTTTTATATCGATTTTCACGTTACGAAATATGTTATAGATGTTTTACTCTTATTTATATACTGTATAGACGAACTGGAATATAACGGGCTTTTAATGGATATTTAACGCTATCTTTTGAAATTGTTTCGTCTCCCTGATAAAATCATAAACAAACAGTATCTGTAATAATAGAGTAGCAATAAAAATTCTACCTAAATAATGAATAGAAGAGTTTTTTATAAAGCTTCAAATTACAATAGGTCCGACATTTAAACTAAAATCCCTTAGGTATTACTAAAAAGAAGGAAAAGGTTTTATATTTTTTACTAGTTTTTTGTTCTCTGTTGTCTAAGTAGCAAGGATATATATATGTATATATATTTACACTTAGATATCGTAAAGTATTCCATATATCTTCCATAAACACTCTCTATCTCTATTTTCTATATTTTATCCAACATAGGAAAAAACAAGGATAACTACTAAACAAAACAGAAAACTATAAATTATAAACAAAACTATCTATATATAAGATATTTCAGGTACTTTTCACTGTTAATTATGCTTAGAGACCTCTTTAATTATTCTTTAGCTAATATTTTAAATTTTATTGACTTATTAAGCAATAAAAGTAAGTGTATTTAACTAAAATCACTTAAATCCTTTAAAAAAAAAGGTAAAAAACAATCAATAAAAAGCTTATTAGATACAAAACTGTGAAAGGAGAAAAACATTAAAGGGAAATTTACTTGAACAGATATCTTATTAAGTATTTAACTGTTCCTTTATACTACTCCTTTATTTATTCTTCTTTATTTTCTTTATATTGCTCTAATAGATTTGTTTTATACTAGACAGAGACTAGAAAAGAGTGAACTACTTAATTCAAGTTGTTTGTCGCAGATTATTTAAATCTATCCGTTATCAACTTTGAAAAGTATTTTTTAAGGAGCATTTCTCTAAAAGGAGAGATGCTTAGGTTCTGGCAGAGTTAAGTGTCACTTTGTCAACTTGAATTTATTAAAAGTTTGATAGAGAGGCAAAAAAAAACTGGCCTAGGCCTAAGAAAAAGATAATTTAGGTTTTTTCCTTTTTTTTTAACGTAAAGTAAAGATAAAAGAAGCCAGTGCTATTATTAGTATTAGTATTATTACTATATTCTTAAAGCCAAATCAAAACCAAATATAGAAAAGGAATTCAACTGATTAAGCAAAAAGGTTTTAGTAGGAAGGAGGGGGAAGGAGAAAATTAAGAGTTTTCGTAAAACGACGGATATTAAAGGATTTTTTTTCCAATATAAAGAAATATAGACTTAAATGTTCTATTTTTTTATTTAAAATAAGATATATACTAACAAAAAAATAAATAAACAATAAACAAACAACAATTATAAATACATAAAACAGATAAACGTTTAAATAAAATATTGTGTGTAAAGATTATTCACTTTTAACGAAAATGTAATGGACATAACGCGAAGAATGGAAGAGAGTGGGTAAGGGATAAGCTCCATCGATTTGTCAATTTTCTACATTTTATAAAACCGGATAGTGGTACAAGCTCACCCAATTCGACTTGCATGCAATAACACTATTCAAATTGGTAATAATATTCTAAAATCATTTGACAAACTACGTAGGGCATGCCAATACGCGCTTAGGAAAAGATCGGTTAAATAGAGGACGAAAGAATAAACTTGTAATAACTATTTGGAATAAATAGAATAGACATATTTTCGTATAACCCTATTTGTCTTGTTCTACTATTACTTTTAGATTGATTGTGAATAGTTTATTTATTACGTAAGACTTTTTGAGAAGCAGAACGGCTACGAGTAAAGGCATCGATTGTTTGTCAATGTATAAATTCTGGCCTGCTCTCGTGAATATAAAGCTAGTAATAAATGATTTATAGAAAAGCGTCTATCATCAGAATCTTGTTTCTAGACAATAATCTAATTATTATCAGCTTTAATCTGAGATCGTAAGAAGTAGAATTAACAGATTAAGAAAGGAGGATCGTTATATATTATTAAATAAAAATAGTCATACAAGCATTTCCGGTTTGATATTATTTTATATTATATAATTTTTTGTAACTGTACACAATATTAATTATTACTAATTTAATTGTCTATCTATTTACGGAAACTTCTTTGTTTCTAAAATTGCCATCGGGGATTCTATTCAAATATTTATTAGCTCTATAGTGCTTTTAATTTTTTGTTTTTAATATAAATTCAATAAAATCAGCGACTAAGTTGATAAGATATAGATTAAAAGCCGTTGGATATATTTTCAAATAATTGACAGGGTAAACAGATTCTTTAAGTTTACTTAACTTTTTTTTCCACTTGATTGATCTTGCTTAAATACTTGTATATATTTAAATAGGTTGTACAATTTCGATTTCTGTTTATATAATATACATAGGGTCAAGTGCTGTGTTTAATATAATAAATAAAACATGCGCACTTTCGTCTTTCTTCTCCGTTCCTCTGTCTCTGTTTCTTTATCTCCATCACATTCGCCCCCCCCCCTCTCTCTCTCTCTCTCCACCCCCTTCGCTCCTTGTTCTCTTTCCCTTCCTGTTTACACACTCATACTTCTATCGTAATTAATAAATAAACCACTAAGCAATTATGAATATTATTCTAAAGTGGAAATAAATTCATTTACAGTACATAAAATGCTCCATATGCTTTAGTACATTTAGAAACAATGTACAGATCTAGAGCATAACCAAATATATTATATATTAAGTATATATTGTAAACGTTCTATACACATCTATATAGTTAATATACATTATATACTATGTACACTGTATATATATACTGCATATATACCTATAATGTATAAGAACGCATCATTTATGCTATGGATAGATACTTAATTGTATATATTAATATTATATCATATACATATAAATATTTGGTTATTAAAATGTGAACTATCCGCTTAATAAATAATCTATATTTTGTTGGTTTTTATATGCTATATATCTTTTATATGATAATCTCTTCTTTTTTCTCTTTTTCTTACAAGGTCTACTAAAGAGAAATAGGAGAAAATCTGCTAAATGAAAGAAACAAGTGAGTGATACAGATAAGTAATGATTTTTTTTTGTGACGTCAAAATAAAAATAAACCTAT